TATTAAAAGTGTCACAAAAAGTGGCAAAGGGCCGCGAAAACCGCACGTATGCATCTTTAAAAACAGCTGAGATACACTGCAGTTTAAAACCAATAGGATACAAGGTACATACTGAGATTACCCTTGCTATAAGGGTAGTGGCAGTCTACACGTGAAGCAAAACAAACAAACCTCCTTTTCTGCATGTTGAAGAAGGCTTGGTCTCACGCAAAAGTTAACAAGTTAGAACATGACTTCTTCGAGTACCACAACACCGTTGGGAAAGTAGATTCATCAGAGCAATCCAATACGCGTTGAACCTTACAAGAGGATTGGTGTTCCATATTATCTCATCTTATCTTACAAGATGACTTTTTCAAGCACATTGTTCAAAGAACTTACTTGCATGAATCGTAATGAGTTAGATTCAGGTACAACCACTTCGTTTGAGAGATCGCTGCACTATAAAGAGTCCGCACTGGGAGTATTCATAGATATAGAAGGGGCTTTCGACAAAACAACCTTCGATTCAATAGAAATGGCTCTATGTCACCACGGCGTACCGAACGTCATACGAGGCTGGATTGCGCAGCTGCTGAATCTCAGAGCAGTGCACATCAGCGTTGGCGACGAAACACTAAGGTGCACAGTAGTGAGAGGATGCCCCGAAGGTGGGGTGTTATCACCACTTCTGTGGAACTTGACTGTAAACAGGCTCCTCTGTCGCCTTAATGACAGTGGGTACTATACGCTGGGGTATGCGGATGATATATCCATACTTATAACCGGCAAATTTGAGGCTACTTTATGCAGACTGATGCAATCAGCTCTTACAGTAACCGAAGAATGGTGTAGGGAACACTCCTTGTCCATCAACCCGACAAAAACGGAGCTAGTTCTCTTCACAAGAAAAAGAAAGGTAGAGGGTATTCGAGCTCCCCTGCTATTCCAAAAACACCTCCAATTTTCAGAGTCAGTGAAATATCTAGGAATCACACTCGACAAAAAACTGAATTGGAGCAAACATATCCAGCTTAAAGCCGAAAAAGCAAATAGGGCTTTCTGGCAAAGTCGCCGCGCTATTGGCAAACTTTGGGGACCATCCCCGAAGGCTGTCCTGTGGCTGTACACTGCCGTGATTAGACCTATGTTCTGTTATGGAGCAATTGTCTGGTGGCCTAGAACCAGACTCTCCACAACTGTAGCACTCCTTAATCATGTGCAAAGACTAGCGTGCCTTGCCTGCACAGGCGCGATGCGAACGACCCCCACAGCCGTCATGGAGGCCCTCTTGGATCTGCCTCCACTAGATCTCCACGTGAGAGAGCAGGCCATTCTGGCATTCCTGCGTCTGAAAAATAAGGGGTTGTTGAATAGCAGAGGCATTGAGGGGGGCCACTCCCGAATTCTGGGCGAGGCGATCAAGCGTCTGCCTATCCTAGAGGGGAGATCGGACTCACTCACTCCTCAATTCATATTAGGGAAAAACTATCACATCTTCTTTGATGAGAATATGGCATCCCAACCAGATATATTCATCTTCACGGATGGATCTAAGACAATGGAAGGTACAGGCACTGGTATTTACTCCAAAGAACTGAACTTCCATATCACCCAACCACTAGGTAAACTTCCTACTGTATTCCAGTCAGAGTTGGTAGGATTAACGCTTAGTGCAAGAACAGTTCTTATGCATAACATAAAGAACAAAACTATCAGAATCTCAAGTGACAGCAGGGCTGCCTTGCAGTCACTTGGTCACTGTAAAATTACCTCTAGGATGGTTTCCGAATGTCACCACGTACTAGAGCAAGTAGCAAGCAGCAACACCCTTGAGCTCGTATGGGTCAAAGGGCATGCTGGAACGGAAGGTAATGAGAAAGCCGATAAATTAGCCCGACTGGCCTCAAAACAGGCGTTTTATGGTCCAGAGCCGGCTCTTCCACTTACAGTTAAAACTGTAAACAACCTAATAACTCAAGACACCCAAACCCAGCACAGGGCTAGGTGGAACTTGATGTTAGATTGTCGCCATGCGAGAGAAGCCTTCAGAGGACCATCTCGTAGCTTGGCGCGTTTTTGTACAGGGCTATCAAGGAAGAACCTGAGGTTACTCGTGGGCATACTTTCTGGGCACTGTAAACTAAACAAGCACATGCACTGCATGGGTTTGGTGGAATCACCATCTTGTAGAGGATGTTACACAGACGACGAGACGGCATACCACATACTCTGTGAATGTCCCGCTCTAGTCCAACTGAGACGATCCATGTTGGGGGAATCCTGGCCGGACATGGCTACGATTAGAGCCGCCTCCCCTTCCAGCGTCCTAAGGTTCATCTCACGTGTGGGATGGCTTGAGTGATGCTGAGGGGTCGGGCGACCCTAGTCAGGGAGGTAGTACAAAGGGCCCGAATTTGAGGCCTAAGTACGCGTGGACACTGTTCACCCTCCTATCGTAATCCAGAATCCAGAATCCAGAACCACTTCGTTTTTGATCGACGGAGCTACCTACAAAGACGATGGGTCTGTCCAAAACACAAGGTTAGAGGAAACGGACCTGGGCTGATAACCTATTGAAACTAGCTTAACATATGTTAATATTATTGTTGTGTAAACTATGTCATGCGGACGTTTCCTTTGACATGTGCTATGTGCACCTAAAATAATGATGGGTGACATTGTATGAATTTCAATTTTCTTTAAGTTTAAATGTGGTTATTATTTGGGATTGAACACAATTCGATCATGTTATTTAATTTCGAGGTCAATGTATTTTGTTTCAGATTTATTTATTTATTGTCCCTCTTGTTTTCGACCCTCAACAGGCTTACGCCCAATTACAGAGTGACCCACATAATGGTTTTTAGAGGTGCCCCTGCAGAAGGTCTTAAGTTGTTCTATACTACTCCGGTATTCACCTTACGAATTAGGAAAACTGCAGGAAAACCTAATTCGGAGTAGCCGGCAGAATGCTCGTAACTGATCTAAGGAAAATTTACTAGGTATTGATTTTGTTTAAATAATCACTTTGTTTATTTTTATTTGTAATTGTAAAGTTGAATTACGTTCAAGTTTATTCGTTTGGAAATAATTGCGTTGCTATTGTAAAAGTTTATCACCGGTCAGTGCAATAAGAGTTCGTTATCGCTGCAGAACGCAGATAAGCAGATGTTTTTCGCTGTAATACAAGTGTGAGTTTATCTTTTGATAAAGAAGTAGAGGCAGAAGGTGTAGAAGGGAAGAGTTGTTAAACAGAAGAGGCAGACGAGGCTTTTTGGTTTGGTGGGCATTTCGAATGAAGACAGTCAGTCTTGTTTAATTGAAAAGTTAGAATAGACGAAAGTTAGTTGTGTACTCGAGGAGATTTTATTTCGTCGCCATGATAAATGTGAATAGTCCGTTTCGAGTTAAGTTCAGTGGTGCATCACACATTCAAAGAAGTGTGTGTTTTGTGTTGTGCAAGCAGTTATCACTTATGTCTTCAATGTACCCGTTAAAGTAAAGTCCCACACCAAAAAAGCCTCATCAAAGCCAATTTGTGTAAATCAAGAAAGAGGTGAAAGTAAAGTTTCAAAAGCATTTTTTCAATTGGTGTTTTTTTGTGCGTCACTTAAAGTGAATCGCAGTTAACAGGGTATTAAGAATTATTATTAACCTTAAAGTAATTAGATTTTTCGTTTAAATTTAACCAAACGCATGTGCGTGGTATTCGTCATCTGACTCTGAGGGCCTATTTTTATTTCAGCTTTATTGATTGTATGGAATACATTTGTTTTGTCTGTAAATTGCTAAAAAATTTATTTCACTTGGTCAACAGATGAGCGGAGGTTGACCTTATGTGAGATCTTGGTACTATTAATGAAAAATGATTGTAACTAGGATAAATGAATAAATAAAAGTATTGCTCGATGTCTTTGATGTCCAAATACCGGTCCAGGTTGAGTTATTTTATCCTCCAAATTCAGGTACAGATTTTACCCATACCTTGCTACTAGGTCAGCCTAATATCTAACGTAACTCCGACAGTGAAATGTGATGGATCTACATTAAAGCATAAGCTACTTATGAGGAAACCCAGGTCAGTTTTGTTAAACCAAAATGATCTACACGTAAATTCAAATGTAACCCAAACCTCTGTTTTTTATTTTTCCCCCTTATGTCCACCCAGACTCGGCCCTACCTAGAAAATGCAGTACTCGAGCGGATGAGGAATTTCAAACTGCTGAAAATCTAATTGCATAAGATGACTAGCATCAAGGAAATCCATGCTACGGCCAACCCCTAACAAGAATTACAACTTCCTCCAATGGAGAAGCGGAGGCATGTTGTCTGTCAGTCAGAGAAAATGTCTCAACAAACTTGCACGTGTTACCGTTTCAAATAGATCATTTTACACACAATAAAGACAGGCTATTAGCTCAGTGTGCTTATATATTTCAATTATAATTCTAACCGCCATTTCATTAATTTTCAACTAAAGAATAGAGGGTAGTGATTCACACCAATACGTACCTTCTGCATGGCCGTAATTATTCTTTGTCCTATTTCCGATTCCTCAGCTTTGCCATCACTAATGTAACTTAAAAAATGTTGCTGAAGAAGAGGATGGCTTTTCAAATTAGAACTCGCAACTTGTCGCAAGAAGGATGGAAGATACAGCTTCTCCACGTCCTTATCGGGATGCTCGCAGATTGGCGGATACCAAGGTAATTTGTGTTCCGTACCTGTCGGTAACCCTATATAGCTTGTTAGCATTTTTGTTACTCTAAAAGTTTCGCAATTCGTGACACTTCAAGATTATGGGCACTTACTGAAATCCTTTGTTTTCGGGCGGCAGAAACACGGGAATATCCAAGTCGTCGCTTTCACCTAGCGGTAAGTTCCAATTCATACATTCGTCTCTGCTAGGCCATCCGGTTTCGTCAAAGTATAAATCTGAAGAGGTAAAATGAGTGGTCGGATATGTAGGATGTAAAAGTGGAGGCGTTCCCAAGTTGTTTTGAACATTTGGTGCACCTTTTTGAGATTCGTCCTTAACTGGATTTAAAAACGGTCGCCTTTTATTACGGGCCATTTGTTCGTTAATTTTCTGCGTCTCACTTTCGACATTGCGTAATAGTCTCTGCAAATTTAAAGTGACGTCGACTTGTAAATTTGTAACCGCTTGATGGTCGGTAAAGTCGCATGTGATGGTTGGTTTTGAATTCTCCGATGTGCGTTGTATGCAACGCTGCCCTCTATTAGCCAATATGGCACTTAATTTTTCTGAGCTGTAACCGATCAATTGCGCTTCAAATGGAGCTTGCTCCCACATTAGCCGTTCCTGCAACCTTAACCATTGCTGCTGTTGGCTATGATAATTGTGCAAATCCGATAGAATTCCTTGCAACGATCTAAAAAATGTCTTTCATTTGCTAAACTTACCCTTGGAGTAAAAAGTGTGTAGACCCCACTTTGACAATAAAAAAATTACCATTCGTCACATTTCCATGGGTTTGTAACAAATGAAAGAGTTACCGAGCACAAACAATACAAAATTGTGGAAATAACATTAGGAAAGGCGACACTTTACTAAAATAGTAAAATTTGATGCAGGTGAGGGTATAGTTAACTGTGTTACCTACTGTTCATATTTAGAAATATGTTTTTTACATCTACATATCTTACACAAGCAGTCCAACGGTAATCTAGTGAGTCTCAAACTGGTGTCTACTTACTTTTTTAGTCAAAACAAAATTCGTCAACTTACTCATGCAGCTGCAGTAAGCCACTATCTAATCTTTTATGGCACAGGGTGGCATACTTTGTGGTGGCAACATCTTCGAGATCAGGTTGTAACTTCAGAACGTTGTCATAACAAGCTACTGATCGATTATAATCCGACAAAACTGCGTACACATTACCTAAGGCAATGTAGTTAGTAGCTTGAAACGGCGCATGCTCGACGGCTGCGTGCAATAAAATTGCAGCATCCTTTGGATACCGAGCTTGATGAAAGATCCCTGCTAGGTTCAGTAATGGAATGTCCTTGTATTCCCTGAGAACAAGGGAAAATGTGCTGAATTATATTATTTAAAACCACAGATATTAAAAATTTAAATCGTCATTTATTAAAGACGACACATCAAAAATTCCGATTATTTAATTTGTGGTCAGTGCAATTATACAATGAATAGTCAGGCCGTTTTAAAGCATAATCGACGTAAAGTTACCACCTATACACCCTATTTGTAAATTACACCAGCGCCTCTAGTGTTCATCTGAATTGCGAATAGCCTCCAGTCACTACTAAAATGTGTGGTAACATATGTGAGAGAGATAGCCAACATTAGAATACCGATCATGCGCACTGAGTTGACATTTCCGGCATTTCACTGCCGTGTGGCGTGTTATTTCCTTAGAACACGGTGCTGTAGTTCACACCTTACTGGTCTTGTGTATTAACAAATGTGTTTTAAAATTGGATGTGTACTTGGTGATAAAATCACACCGGTCACACTTTAAATCTTTGGTAATCTTGTATGTAAATACATTTGTTTTATTATTAGATTTATCATTCGTTGCATAATCACACAGGACACATTTTAAATTCTTGGTAACCTCATGTGTTAAAATGCTATTGGGCATGTGCAGTCGTCTATTTCTCTGTCTGCGTTAGGTCTGTTGACACAGATGCTCCTTATTGAAAGTAAATAGAAGGCTATATCTATGTACCTATTATGATCTAAAAATTTGGAAAGATAATGACAGTAGGTAATAGCGTTGATAAAAGCTGTTTTCGGTAATAGAATAATTACTATGAAATTACGCACAAACAACTGAGAAAACTTAATTTGAAGGCGACCAACAGAAACGAGATAGAGAGAGCTTGCTTCTTAGTTTTCCCTTCTCTCTCGCCTGCAGTATCTGCGCTTAGCATTGACACGCGCAGTCCATCTCTAAACGTGGATGGTTCCAATTTAAAAAAAATTGCAATAGTTTAGCCATAGCCATGGAAAAACGTCACAAATTAACAGTTTTTTTGTGCCTTTGACGCACTGACGCATGCGCGATAAGCTTGAAAAATTAGAAAACCCAACTAACATCAACAACAAACTAACACTAATAATAATATTGTCTCTAATTATCCCCAAAAAAAGAAACATTTTACACACTTCTACACGGCCAATTATTCTAGGCGCGAATTTTCCGGGAGCGAATTTTCGGGAGAGCGAATTGCCCGCTTCACTCTTTCAATGATCAAAAAGAGTTTCAAATGTGAGAAATACCTAGCTACTACAGGGTGTCCCAAATTCAATTTCTACAAGTTCAAGGACTATTGAATATAAACTGGATTAAAAGTTGTGTTTTCGAATGCGAATTGAAAGTCAAAAAATTCCCCTAATGAAAATCGTATGCAATTCTTCATAATGTTGTGTGAGATATTCGCACTTTGACATCACCAATGGATGACGTTCCAATTGTCCTTTGGGAGTACCCCTCACTGACATGAGGAATTATAACCGATCTCAATAAGGGGTCCAGGAGGTGAGATTTGATTAGTAGAAATTAATTCCTTTCGTTGAGACTTTTCATTATAGTGCCATGAAGGAAAACCTCCTTCTCCCCCAAGTTCGATAAGTAGCGAGGAAAGAGGGCGGTAGTTGATAGAAAACAGTTAATTTTTTTTAATATTCAAAAAAATGCGCCAAAAAATTAGCTAATTTATTTTTTATTTTTTGGGACTATGTAAAGAAAATGTAAAAACAAATCACATATTGTCACTGCAACTTTTTCTACACTAAAAGTAATATGATTATATTTTAATCCGGGCACTTAGGTTTTTTGTTGCAGTATTAAATTTTAGGTGAGCAAGAAATGTAAAATGGCCGTTTAGTACTCTCGGGATGTGTTAAGCTGTTTATATTTAAAAAATGGCATTGTATTATGAATGCAATGTATATTTCATCTTTTCCTATGAGCCACAACATTACAATAACCCTTCATAATGCAAAAAGTCATTAAAGAAATAGAGATCTAATAAAAATATATGTCCCCATATTGCGGTGGGCACTCCCTGATATTGAATTCAATCAGTTACTACATTTTTGTGTTGCCAATATTAATGAAAATAAACGTGGATCAAAATATAGTGAGGATCCCTGTACATCTCACTGTACAGTTAACTTTCTAATTAGGAAAGTTTTTATGGGAAAAATGAACTAAATAAGATTATTTTAAAGAAATGGTACAGATCCAAGTTTCAAGACAATTGAGCACAATGACAATTTGACACAGTGTTACCACAAGTTTTGGTAGGAAAACAAAACCTGCTATAGAGGAAAAAAACTTGTAGTCTTATTTGCCCATAGAACCGGTAATCACTGTATGGGTAGAAAATAGGAAGAATTTTTTTATGACTGAATAAAATACTTACTAATTGACGTTCTCTTGTTACATTTTATACAAGATAAATCCAATATTTTCTTCTTCATAATATCTTGTTATTTGGATTGGACCATGACATTACACTATATGTGTGGTCAGAAAGTGCCCACAATAACAAAGATACTGGTACTGGCACATAAGAAGGCAACAGATGATGCATTCTCAGTATTCATGTTCTATTAATTACACATCCACCACTCCTGCAGATACTAAATTTGTCATCTGTGCATCACCCCCTCTCGCCTTCTTATGTGCCAGTACCAGTAACATATATGTTCGATGTTAGTCTAATTCTACTTAACTTGCAACTGACACTTTTGAAATTGCAATGTGCATGTCAATAGATTTGAATCACAAATCCAATAATTATAACAATTAATGAAATACCATACATCCAGCAATTCCACAAAACTTACCTGGGGGAGTAATGAAGAGCTCTTCTACCGCACTCAATTGCTCTTGGTGCATCCCCAAGTATTCTCCAGTACAGCACCCCTAAATTATAATGAAACCAAGATGAACTGTTCTTGGACAAACTTAAACCAATATAATGTCCAAATGTATCAATCGATGAAACAGGTAATAAATACTCCAAATCAGTCTCGGGTACAATGCTAATAGCATTTCTATTAACCATTGCATGCAAATGCTCAAATGCAAACATGCTATAATCGAGCTCGGCATAATTTGTACAGTCAGGTGCAGAATAATCGGTAGATTCGTTTTCGTACAGAATACCCAAAGTCACATCTGTTCTGCTACTACCGTTAGAGCCGATGCTGGAGTACAAGTCGATCTCGCTCAATAGTTTACCTGCCCTAGAGCAGTCCGGGTCTTGGGAGTAGACACGGGTCTCCAAATCCGAAGCACCCTCTAGACCCGACCATTTTTGGTCTATTACATTTTTTCTGTCAACTAAATCTTTATATAGAGTCGTTATATCAATTCTACGGGTTTCTTGGTCCAATAAAGCGATGAGATCGTAGGGACGTCGAAGATGGAATGGAGAATCCAACTAGAAATAGCATAGATAAATCGCAAATGTTGAATGTTTGAAAGAACTCAGCTGATTGTTATTTAACCAAACTTTTATTCACAAAGTGTATACTTGAAAGACTTACATGTGATTGTATACGTCCATTTTCGGTTACAACCCAGTGAGTGGAAGCGTAGGTTTTTAAATAAATTTCAAATAAAATAAAAAATATTTTCCATATTTTCCCCATTTTCCAAATTCTTCTTAAAAATACGCATTGCGCAGGTTTCGATACCATGCGACACCGTCGCTTTTTTTTGCAATCGTCATTTTCACGTCTCGTCTCTGTCTTGCCAACTGGAATTCCATATGATTGTCGATTACGTAATTCAAAATAAACTAACACGCGCTTCTTTGCCTTTTTCTGATTGGATGCGGATTTTTTGAATTCTTCGCGCCACAGTAGCGATACTTTCAAGCGAACTGATCGAAAACATTAATTATAGCTTTAAATACGGCTCGCCACAATCGTTTGGGTGACTAAATGAATTTCGGTCCGGGCCATTTATTTACGAACACGTCATTTACGCCAATCGACCTTTATTTTAGTTGACCTGCGTAACACACGTGTATCAGATGGTTGCAGCGGCGACGCATTCGTTAAACCGTCTTCCCAATATTACGACCGTTCCTCGCAATGGCAAAGTCGCAAGTTGCGCAAAATTTCCATAAGGATTGCGAAAATGCCATCAATAAACAAATTCAAATTGAACTTAATGCCAGTTATGTTTATTTATCAATGGTGAGTAGGTACCATTTAATTTTATTACAATAATAGGGACACGGTGCGCAGATGTGAATAGCGTGTATTTTTGTTCAATATTTATTTTATTTCTATTGCACCTAACCCATTGGATCTGCTTTTTCAACAAGGTTAAACGATTATTTTTTTAGTGTGTTGTTTGCTTATTATTTATTCAGATATAGTCATTGATAGCTAGAATTAAGTTTATTTTTAGTGCGTTTTTTCCATTGCTATTTTTGAATGGCCCTCTTATTATTGCGCAATTTTAAGTAATTTAGATTCAACCGAAATGGGTTGAGCTTTACAATGAATAGGATACTTAATTAAAAATATTTGTGGACATTAGCGCGATTTTCCTACAGGTACCTATAGCTCGATACTCGAACTTATCCATACGTCACATATAAAACGTACAACATATCGATTTGTTTTTTAACAACACAAATATTTGATATATATGAGGAAATCTTATTTAAACTTAAAACGGTATGGCCTTCTCAACACTGACGCTGACGTACATTTATTAATCATTAAGTCATTTACTAATGAATCCATTTGCAGCACGCAAGAATTTATTACAATTTTATAGAAGAGTATGTATGTACACAATTAACAAATTTAGTTAAGAAAACAAAGTTACAGGATAACGTCAATTTAAAAATCCCCTGATGGAAGTAGGGTGACATGAATAACGAGTATTTTTTGGTAATTATTCGTCACTAAAACGACGACACTATGATTCCATGCTCAAAACGCAAAGGGATTATTATAATGTCAAATTTCTTCTCTGGGGCAAAGGAAGTTCTCACCAAAATTGTGTAGCTTATTCCCTGGCGAATATCGCATTGTAATTGTATTCTGTTATTATTACTAAAGATAGGAAATGTTTCTAATATTTAGAAGTGTGCTTACGATTATTTGTGTTTAAAGGAGACAAACCATAATATAGTCATAGGTAACAGAGAGATGTGGTACTTTAATTTCAATATAAATTAGGTATTGCATGTTTTATAGTATCTTTTTTCTACTACTCAGGCTTAATGCACCTAGATGGGAGGTTACTCCGGCACGATCGATGAAAACCCTTACTCACATGTATATATGTAATCCCAAGCGAAGCTTTTTGTCTAATAAGCTCCGTATTACGTGTGAAATTGGGTCTTCGCCTGGTGATTAATCGACGGTCTTCTGGGTAATTAAAATCTTCTATACTTTTTTCTACCACCGAAAATACTTTCTCTTGTGGATTTGGTGTCAAGCGTAGTAGGTCTGCTCGTCCCTTTCTGGAGACAATGTAAACCCTGATTGTCGTTCTTATATAGCGTAATTGTATTTAAGAACTCGCGCGCATTAAGGGTATCATGACGATGCTTGTGCTACTCCAGTAACTTCATTTTAACAGCGAGACTAAAAGAAACGTAATTTTCCACTCGCTTTTAAATGAATTTATGGCTTTACCTATACTTTTACTTAAACTTTTTACTGAAAATGCGAATGGTTAGTGTAAAGTGACTCATGTGTGCATACATTCTTAAAAAAAACAAGATAGGTACAATAATAACGCGACTTTTTCACGAAACCTGTCAAACTTGTTATTTATGCATCGCAGTGGTTCGAAAAGTCGACTATCTTGTACCACAATACCCACCACAAGACTTTGGTTACCAATTCCGTTATTGAAGCATCAAATTGTAGTGAAGAATTAATGTAATAGGACCTAGTGTTGAAAAATTAGGCCTCGAAAATTCATCTCCATAAAAACTCACGATCCTGAATACTCGCTTTCATAAAATTCGCCTCTAGAATAGTTTTCATCGGGAACTCTACCTGTGGTATATACTGTGTCCAAGATAACGATGTCTATTATGGGGATCTTGGAAACTATAGAAGATACGACGATAGTCAAATTAGAGAGAAGATGCGCAATTATTATGAAGACACCTGAAAATTTCGATTGGTTTCGAAGATATGCCAGAAAAACTGAATTTTGCAGATTCTGTTTTTATTTTTTTCTGATGTTATGCGTATATTTAAAAAAACGCTGTTGCTATTGGCACTGAACTTTCATCTTTTCATTATATATATTTGCACGCTCCTGATAACGCGGTTCTCCTATCCCTTTTGCAGTTTCTGCAATCCTCAAAGAGTTGGAGGAGCCCAAAATACGTGCCTACGTTAATAATTCAAATTTATGGTTTCATATTGTAGCGAATATTTTAGAAATCCTGATAGACATCGAGGCGCCATGAAATATTAGTCATCGGTGATGGCGGATGTGACGCATTATGTCTGAGAAATATGACGTGCTTGTTCTAGAACATGCGTGAAGCGTTCGGTAGCACTCGAATATTCTGGATAGATTGTTGTTTGGTATAGGTAATAAGTATAAATACCAGAGTTGTAGGAAATTTCATGTTCTATCAAATTTGTGAACGCTACTTTAAGAGCATGTGTTACGTCGCGGAAACATTAAAAACCGGCGTTGAAATCGTCAAATGCCCGTCGCTGTAGACAGGGTATTTTTCAAAATACGTAGCTCAAATTTGGAATAGAGTACCTTCAAATCTTGAGGTACAATATGTCTGAATTAGAATATTAAAAATCGCGAGCGTTTTTGCAAAAATTACCCTTGAAGTATGACGTTAATGCAAAATATAGTCAATGTTTGACATATTTTTTAGAGGGTTAGAATAGTAAAAGTGGAAAAACAATTCAGTCATAATGGAGTTTAAACTGTTATTTACCTTTAAAAAAAAATTACGAGTCATTACAGTTGATAATAAAATAGTTCTGGGATCGGGTAAAAAGTATGTTTTCGTCATAATTTTTCCGTGATCCAGAATTAGTTTCTCCCACCTTAACCTTACATTCGCAAAAGATTGGTGTGATCATTCGGTTATACCCGCGATCGTACGGTTATCGTTATTATGGGCGTTTATAATATTAAAAGCGACAATCCAAAAAGGTAGGAAATATCACGAAGAATTAGAAGTGTAACTGTACTGTAATTATTCTTCTTCTTTATTACTTATTATTATTACATTTTTGCGTTACAAGGTACGTACGGGGCGGTGACTTTCCGAACGCACCATAGTAATTTTTTCATTTCCGAATTGGCTTCCCTAATTATTTTAGAAGTAGTCTATTTAGGTTTTTTTGTAGAGAAAAAAATTACGAATCCGTACATAGTTTCCTATTTATAATCCGGTAATGCTATAATGGAATTATGAAATCAAACAAAAGCGTCTGCACTTGCCATTAGTTATTGTGTTTACGGAAAAATATAAAAAAAGGAATCCCGAAAATTAACAATCTGTTTTTAGTAGCTAAATTCATCCGATCATTTGAAAATCCTTATTTGGTCACTTCTTTTGATGACAAAACAATAAGACAAACCCGATCACCGTAGGTACCATAGTCACGGATTAATTATTAGCGAGGTCCTAGTGAGTAATTTTGCGGTGTCTGTCCGTCCGTTAGCACGATTTCTCGATAACGAATGGACCAATTACAATTAAATTTTTTAGGTAGATTCTGTATCAAATTTGTAGATCGGAGTTCGTGAATTGGTAATGTAGGTAAAAAAATAAGGAAGGCCCTTTTGACATCTCTGTTAGTTATGAACCAAATTGCATGAAATTTAATATGGACATGGTTCTAACATACAATACGCACTTCCAAAAGTTGAGTCTCTTCGATTCAACATTCAAAGTGCCCTTTTCACATCTCGACCATTTAAGAAACGATTTGCAAACTTTTTTATTTATGAAGGTATTTATGTATATGGAATTTGATACATATAGGCACTCGGAATAAAGGCAAATCTAACGCCGGTTTCCAAATTCAGTTTTACGCATGCGCAGTGCTAACTCTCTTATTTATTAAAGCATTTAAATGAAGTTTGATACTTGACACTTGGAATAAAAGGAAATGTAGCTCCAGTTTAAACATTTGGTTTCGCGCATGCTTATAGTCCTACCCAGTGACTCGTTTGCTATATTTGTTTACACGTTTAATGTTTATTTAAATAAACTAATTAAAACAACGATGCTTTCCTTCACACTGGGCGACTCTCAAAGCGTTCTCAATTTTTTTACAGTTTAAATAAAAGTGTAAACAAATATAGCAAACGAGCTCCTGGATAGGGCTATAGCATGCGCAATACCAAATTTTTAAACTGGAGCTACATTTCCTTTTATTCCAAGTGTCTAATATGAAACTTTATTTAAATGCTTTCATAAATAATAAAGTTGGCACTGCGCATGCCTAAACCGAATTTTGAACCGGCGTTAGACTTGATTTTATTTCAAGTGCCTAAGAATCAAATATCATTTAAATACTTCCATAAATACGAAAGTTAGCACTGCGCATGTGCAAAACTGAAATTGGCGTTACATTTGCTTTTATTCCAAGTGCGTAAGTATGCCATTTCAGTTATGTGGTTTCTTAAATAAGAAAGTTGACTCTGCGCATACGCAAAACCAAATTTCAAAACTGGCACTAGATTTAATTATTTTATTCCAAGTGCTTATATGTATCAAATTTCATGTAAATACCTTCATAAATAAAAAAGTTTGCAATTCGTTTCATAAATGGTCGAGATGTGAAAAGAGCACTGTGAATGTTGCATCGATTAGACTTAAATTTTGGAATTGCGTATTATGTGGCTAGAGCTATGCCCATATTGAATTTCATACAATTCGGTTAATAACTAACGGAGATGTCAAAAGGGTCTTCCTTATTTTTTGATCTACATTACCAATTCACGGACTTCGATCTGCAAATTTGATAAAGAAACCACCTACAAAATTTCATCGTAATCCGTCAATTCGTTATCGAGCTAACGGACGGACGGACAGACATCGCAAAATTATAAACTCGCTAGGAGCTCGTTAATAAACGAAACATTAAATGGCTTGTCTTAACAATTAGTTGTTAGGGCTCGTACATTGTTAATTTTCGGGATATAATTGAAGTAAAATGCGAAAAGAAACGACATTTTGCCATTTTGTCTTCGTTCTTTGTTTATAACAATATGTTCCTGGAATTTCCGGCCAGGGAGACTATGATTTTCGGATTCAGCGATTTTTTTTTACATAAAGTACACTTGGGTTTCGTTGAGTAAAATGACAACATCCAACCCAAACGGTAATTTGACTGGACTAATTGATTATACCAATGAGTATACCTACATTTTATTTTAATAAGCGATGAGTTGTCTTTGCTTTTCTCTTTGTAATTCTAATTACATACTTACAAAGAGAAAAGATAAATATTGTCCTTACGGTCAGCGGTATAGAAGATTATTGCAACATGAATGCATAATAACATCAATATCAGTATACGCGACACGAGTGCATGATCCCCTTCCCAAATTTTACTTTCCTCTAAAAATGCGGCGGGAGAACGTACTGGAATTTCCCCTCTCGAGTCTGGCTAGCCGACTTCGACGCTAATGTTACTAATGCTCTTAACGGAAATTTGTATTGAAAAGAGATATATGGGAAACACTAAATTTTGCGACTATTTTGGCAAGTTTTTAGCGCATTTCCACAAAAATAAAAAAAAATGCGCTATTGTGGCCACTTTGTCCGTCCGTCCGTCCGCTCGTTTTGAGACGCTACTAGTTTTTTATCTTAAGAGCTATTGTTCTACTTTTTTCGCTATTTGGTTCGTTATGGTGTCTAGTCTTGCACCAAGGAAGGAATTTTTTCTGGACCGCTTACAAAAAAAGTTGTAAAAAAAAACAAAAAACCGTTTTTTACATGTTTCATAATTTTACACTTTTGCCGTTTATTAACGATCCTAGAGATCGTTTATAATTTTGCATTGCTGTATGTCGTCTGCCTGTTGGTCTGTCTGTCTGTTCCTTTGTCTGTCTGTCCCTCTATCTGTCCGTGTGAACGATAACTTTATTTAGAAATGTCCGATCGCTTTTACATCTCCGTTAGTTATGAACTGAATTGCATGAAATTCAATATGGGCATAGCTTTAGCCATATAATACGCAATGCCAAAAGTTGAGTCGAATGGATTCAAAATTCACAGTGCCCTTTTCGCATCTTGACCGAATTGCAAACTTTTTTAATTATAAAAGTATTTAAATGAAATTTGATACATAGCCACTTGGAATAAAAGCAAATTTAACGCCAATTTCAAAATTTGGTTTTGCGCATGCGCAGTGCCAACTTTCTTATTTATGGAGGGATTTAAATGAAATTTGATACATAGCCACTTGGAAGAAAAACAAATTTAACGCCAGTTTCGAAATTTGGTTTTGCGCATGCGCAGTGCCAACTTTCTTATTTATGGAGGGATTTAAATGAAATTCGATACATAGCCACTTGGAACAAAGGAAAATCTAACGTTAGCTTCAAAATTTAGGTTTGCGCATGCGCAGTTTCAACTTTCTTATTTAGAAAAGCATCTTACAAATCGGAAATGAATGCAAGTGGAAATGCGCTTTATGTAAATCGTTTACGATTACTTTTTAACTTAAGATGGCGGCACGCGTAGAGCTCCGTCAAGATCGAAAACTTAGATTTAACATTAGGAGACATATTTATTTATTTATTTATTATCCCTCTCTTGTTCTGGGGAATCTGGACCCTCAACAGGCTTGCGCCCAATTACAGTGACCCGCATAATGGTTTTTAGAGGTGCATCTGCAGAAGGTCTTATGTATATAAAACATTAAGAAATTGAAACTATCCGGTTAATTACGATCGCCAATCACTAATTGCACTGACCTAACAAAAGATATGATAATTTTCTTCAGCGAATAATTCCTGCCCTATTGTTAGAAAGCTTCGTGACAGTTTCTTTATCTGGATAACTCCAGTGAGATGTCAATTTTTGGGAATCTGGGCGATTTGTGTATTAATTGTTTGTAAAAAATTATTACATAGTGGGTCATCTGCACTTCATACCTAAACTGTTGGCGGGTTGCCCAACAAGAAATCAACCATATTTTGTGTGTCTACATACATCCGTTTCTTAAAATTGAAAAACAATACTCAATTTCTATGCTCCAAATGAAGTTCTAAATAATTATTTATGTTAACACAAAGCATTCGCATCGTTTCAGCTAATTGAGGAGATTAGCCCCGTTTGTATTAATTACCCGCCGTTACCGCTACATCCTTCCACAAATATCCTGGTTTACAATTGCCGACTAATAATTTCAAGCACTTCTATTTTTAGTCGTACTACTTCGATCGAGATGATGTTTCTTTACCGGGATTGCACAAGTACTTCAAAGATGCTTCAGATGAAGAACGCGGCCACGCCATGCGATTTATGGAGTATCTAAATAAACGCGGAGGACGCATCATTCTCAACACTATCGATGCGCCCGATAAACAGGAATGGGGTACAGCTTGCGAGGCCATGACTTCGGCTTTAGAGTTGGAAAAAAAAGTGAACGATGTATGTTGGTTATTAGATTACCTACTGATGGTAGATAAAATAAGGATCATTTTTAGAATTTACTCACACTGCACAGTGTCGCTTCGGGTCATATGGATGTGAATCTATGTGATTTTCTGGAAACGCACTATCTTCAGGAGCAAGTTGACGCAATTAAAGAGATCGCGGATCATGTCACAAGCCTGAAACGAGTCGGAGAGGGATTGGGCACTTACATTTTTGATCAAAAATTCGTGGATAAATAAGTCTGTACAAACTTATTTTAGCATTTAGTTTCTATAATAGGCTTGTTTATTTTAGAGGATGAAGTAGAGGAGGCTTGTGAACTGTGATGTACCTATGGGGCACTTTGTGAAAGGGATGTGATCATATTATCACACTATATATCTTGTTCTACCTGTATCTAGCAAGTTGTCAATTAATTGCATGCTTAATATCTTTTGCAAATATCCGAAACCTGTAACTATGACAAGTATGGAATGTAAATTAAAGTTGACATGACAGTTTGTTAATTATTGCATTGAGAAATCACAAATTTCCTGTTTCCAATGAATTTATTCAAGTTTCCCAAATTCAGTCTTTTGAAACCGAAAAATGCTCCAAATGATCTATCGTGGAAAATCTTTAAATATATTAGCACAATTACCTTTCCAGCGGATTACTCACACCCACATTTCTTCAGCTCAAAGGCATCCGCTGGTAGCATTGGCCGATCATCTTACCACGCCGAAGTGGAGAAGGCCGTAAATGAGCAGATTGTAGCCGAGTTTAACGCAATGTACATGTACTTATCAATGGCTAGTTACTTCGGCCGCACCGATGTTGCTTTACCAGGCTGTTACGGGTTCTTCATGGATATGCATATTGAGGAACACGAGCACGGATTAATTTTTCTAAATTATCAGAACATGAGGGGTGGGAAAGTAGTTTTGGGTAACATTCAATTAGCGCCAGACAAAATCTGTTGGGATGGTATTCGCTCTGCGTTTGCTACGGCTGCTGAAATGGAAAAATCGATCAAAGACGTAAGTTAACTAATTGGTGATCGCTCGAGTTGAAGTACATTTTTAGAAACTACTTGCAGTGAACTGCGTGGCTGAAAAGCACAGGGATTACGGTGTAATCGACTTAATTACAAGCTATTTTATCCCAGCGCAGGTTTGTCTTATGAATGTGTTAAAGTATGTCAAGCGATGTTTTCTTCAGGATCGATCGATATGTGAAATGTCTCGGTTGCTGCAAAGAATAACTAAAATGGGAAAAGAGGGTGTTGCAGAATATTTATTCGACAAAGAGGTTCACACGGCGTTTGTACAGAAAGGGCCTAAACCATACATACCCGATTATCCAAACGCAGAAAAGGACGCTGCTAATAAAAAAGATTTGTACATTTAATGCTACAAGGACTATTAAAGAAGTGTATACCTAATGTTACCCTTATCCTTTTATACGCATATGAAACCGAATTTCTTTAAAGCTATAGGTAGGTATACAATTTCGTTAAGTCACACTCAGCGAGAGTTTACTCCTTTTTGGAATGCCTTACTTAATGGAGAATTGCACGTTGCTCCCAACAGTTCAAAACACCCTTGCTATTTACGAGTATAAGCGCTTCAGAGTTAATGCAACACTCGTAATTCTGGAGCGCGAAGCGCTTATAGGCACAAAACAAGTGTTTCGTGGTCATAGGCTTGCGTTTTATTGTAACACCAGGAGTAGGAAGCCATATGAAGTATAGGTTCAGGTTCCGCACTAGGTACTTAGATAGCATTATTAGATGGGAATTTCCTTAGACCAGTTTCGAGAATTCTGCTGGCTACTCCGAATTAGGTTTTCCTAGTTCGTACCAGAGTAGTATAGAACAACTTAAAACCTTCTGATGCAGAGGCACCTCTAAAAAGCATTATGCGGGTCACTCTGAAATTGGGCACAAACCTGTCGAGGGCCCAGAACAAGAGAGGGATAATAAATAAATAATTAATAATAAATAAACACATAAATAAAATATTTTTAAGGGTTCCGGTTTTGGGCTTCAGGTTCCGGTTCTGGGCTTCAGTAAATTTCGGTTACGGTTCCAATTTTGTTTTTCGGTTTCTAAGGGTTCCAACATACAATTAGTAGCTATTAGTGCAATAGTTTCCGGTTCCGGGTCTGGTACCGATTCTTCTCGGTTTCGGTTCCAACCCCCGATAAACACAAATTTTTATCCACTTTTGCAAAGTTTTCATGCACTTGCATTCGCTCTTTTCTACATTTGAAAATATCTTTTCTACTATCTACAATCTATTTACATACAACATATGGAGAATTTCACTTTAATAATTAAAATGCATCCAGAGGGTTTGAAACATGGGTTGGAAACCATTTTAATTATTAGTTCCGGTTCCGCACTACTTAGCTAGAATTGTTTTATTAAGGATTCCGGTAACGGTTCCTGTTCTGTGACTTCAATAATTTTCGGTCCCGGTTCCGACTCCAATTTTTTTCGGTTTTAAGGGTTCCAGCATATTCAATTGAAAATTCTTTTTTGCTTTTGTCATTCAAAAATATTTTATGTTACCTGAATCTCACAATCGCACAGTTTACACTTAAACACCGACCTTTTTTGCCATAAGTAAAATCGTCATGAGCAAAACTACGTTTAATAACACTACCCGATTTATAACTCTCGCCAGGAAAGATTGCCGGTCATAGCACACCTTGTATCGATCTACAATCTATGTTTTTCTTAAGATGCGGGCGACTTCCGGAACAGGATCGTGTCAATGTTGAACGAAAAGTCTTTTTGTCCAAAATTGACACGAAACTATCCCGGAAGTCGTGTACATCTTTAGAAAAACATTGATTGTAGACCGGGATCAAGTGTTCTCTGACCGGCAATCTTTCCTGGCGAGAGGTAAATACTTGTATTTTATCGTTAATAATTAATAATAAGCGCAACAATATAAAACGGATATTTTTTCTTTTATTTTCCCTCTCACAATTAAGCGTTCGCATTGAACCTTCTCAAACATTTGATTTGTGAACAGTGTAATTAGTACCCGTGAGTAGCGCACTCACGATAAGCAATAAAGCGGCACATTGAATGATGTTACGTGTACTCTGTGTGCGATTACGTAAGTATGCCACAAATAGTAAGAACAATTTAAATCGTCATTATTTATACAAGCACGACACCGAAAAGTACTGATGGTTTAATTTGTGGTCAGGGTCATTATGCCACGAATAGTAAGGTCGTTTTAAAGCCTAATCGACGTAAGAGAATATCGGCGAGTTTATTGTGAATTGTACGAGTGATGCGCTAGACATTGAATGATAGGTAAATCGTGATCTTTATTTGCGATTAGAAAATTAAGTTTTATTTGCGCGTTCAAGCTAATTCAAGACAGCCTCGAGTTCATAAGATAAAGGCCTTTCATGTAGGATAGGTTTAAAAAGTTATATTTTCAAGTTTCAAAAACGGCAGGATAAACTCAATTCACTTTCAAATTAGGTATAGTACGTCACTTAAAAACCTACCAGAATAACCTAATGTTTACAAACCGCTACCACGATTTGTAAATAAGTAACACTAGTGCTTTTGATGTTAATCTGAATCGCGAATACTATGGTGGTTCTGTTTATGTGTTGAGACGGGAAGGTTATCGTTTTTGTGCGTACGAGAAGAAAAAAATTTAATGTAATGCGCACACTAAGGCCAGGAAAAACTTTCATTGGACAAAGAATTAATAAGAACAAAACGGAAGAGACGTCATAAATGCAAATGGAAAACAAGAGCACTGAATTTGGTACAAAAGCCAGCATATTTAATTCAGACAAAACAAAACAACCCGTATTTATACCATCGATCTTTTTCTGCGTTTTACAATTTTGCAAACTAGGTAGGTACGTATTGTAAGTACCGTAATTTTGAGATTTTCCAAGTAAATTTATTTTGCTCATACCGTTTAATTTTTGCTTTTGGATTAAGTTTACCGCACCATATCTATAGCTTTTCCTTTTTCTACACAGTAATTTCTACCGCTCCGTTAATTGCAAGGTAAGCTGTTTGTTACTTTACGTTTCATTAGTTATAAGGGGGGCTTTCCTGCATTTGCTTTCCCGTAGATACGTTACCGAATCCGCTTATTTACTATTGCCGCGTAAGGAAATCGCTGTGCGCTGTAATAATTTTGTTATAGCATTCACCATGCATCAGTAGCTGTTCGCCGCTTGCCCTTTACTCCGGGAGTTTACCCGAGGCTTCCGAGACCGATCCGCCAAACCGCAGACCTTGACCATGGGCATACCGGCTTGGTGGCGCTCGTGTTCGCCATTCCGCCGACATAACACCCATGTTGCCGACTGCCGCTACTTTCGTCTGCTCACATGATTTAGTGACTAAAATTTGTAAATTTATTTATTTCTCTTGTAAATTAAATTATAATCATTATTCCGCTAATGCTTATTTAATTATTTGTTTACTACCGAAATTCGTCGCACGACCATTCCATAATAACTTTAACGTTATGTTTATAGGTATTATACATTTGATCAATCACCTATTTGAAATTGTGTTTTTGCCAAACACAGTGAGAAACTTCAATTTCTTATAATCCCCTATATACGTATATATCAAAAACTACAATTTTGCACCTTTAAAATTCATAAGTAGACCGACTTGTAGAGTTTAGTGGGTTTCCGCCGTTGGCGCCGGTGTTACATTAACTTCGACATGGCTTTCTGTTCAACCATAGGTAGAGCCACGCTATGTAAGCGGTGGCGAATTCTCCTCTTAGCTGACTATGTTTGGGTATTGCGAGAAGTGGTGATAATTGAGCCTCCTCTGTGTCTGCGTAGTTGAAAGGTAGAGGTGACATCAGAACATCACACTATGGGGGTGATGGTGTTCTTACGCTAATAGCAGCACGGTACGCGTCAACTTGCCAAGAGCAACTCGCCACCGGACCACTCACCACTGACTGACTCGCCAACGGGACAACTCGCAACCGCAACAACTCGCCAATGCGACAACTCTCCAACGGACGACTCGCCACTACGACAACTCGCCAACGAAATATTTTTCCCTGTTTAATGTGTCGTTCAAATAACGATGTGATTGTCAAATTTTCTGTTCAAATAATAATTTGCAGATGTCGTTATATCAAAATGCAGTAATAGAAACAGGTCTTCATTCAAATATTGACTACAATTTTTCGATAAACTTTTTTTTACAAAATTAGGGAAATTGACTATTGCATTTGTGGGATGCATTTGTATGACACATTAAACAAGGAAAAATAATTCGTTGGCGAGTTGTCGCAGTGGCGAGTCGTCCGTTGGCGAGTTGTCGCATTGGCGAGTTGTCGCGTTGGCGAGTTGTCGCGTTGTCCCGTTGGCGAGTTGTCCCGTTGGCGAGTTGTCGCGTTGGCGAGTTGTCCCGTTGGCGAGTTGTCGCGTTGGCGAGTTGTCCCATTGGCTAGTCGGTCGGTGGCGAGTGGTACGGTGGCGAGTCGCCCTTGGCGAGTTGACCGTGTCCCTAGCAGCAGTAGGTGTGTACGTGTAGTGAAGTCAAGTCATCAAGTGTCATCCCCAACAACGAAAAAAATAGTGAAATTCAAAATTATTCAGATGTACAGCCTAGATGCCATATTTAGTAAAAATCGAAATTTTGTTTGCATCCATGTTCAAAGTGCACCAACTTATAGTAAGAATTTTAGACATTTTTAAATCGAAAAGCATATACCCAAATAGCGTTGAAAGTGATTAGTTCCTTTTTCATTTATGTGTTCAGGTTGCCGAAAAAAATAGAAAAACCCAAATTTTGAAACTTTGGAAACATTTTGGATTTTTTTGTATACTTACTGGTTACACCATTGTCTATCAATGAGTGGAATGTTTCTAAAATCTTCTTCACTTTTACAAAAATCAAAGTTTTCTTTCTGAAATTTTATTTGCCTAAAGGCAAATCTGATTTTCAAATTAAAATGTGCATGATAAGTAAATTTACAATACAATTATTCTGTTATCACACTATGTGGGTGCATATATATTAAAAAATAGTAAAAACGACTAACGAAATGATCCTTTCATGTTAACAACATTGGTTTTTCAGAATTCCAATTCCATATATTCGCTATGGTGATAAATACTAAGTGACAAATGTAAAAATAAAGGGCGTTCAATTATTCTACTGGTCAGGTCACCTGTAGTAGGCAGTTGTCACAAAAAAAAACATATGCCTTGTCTAAAAAAATGCTTATACACAGTTGTCCACCTTCTGATTTTGAACTTGCTGCATACTTTATGTGAATTTTTATTAAAATCAAATTTTTGAATGTGTTTTTCTAAACGTGCGCCTCTTTTAGTCTTTTCACATTTATTTATAATTGACATCAAACCATAATCGCCTTATAAACTTATAAAACTGGCCAACGTTTACTCTAGAAAGAGAAAACCACAGCCAACCACCACCAGAACAATTACTGAACGCCCATTTCAATGCATACTATACATATTATTATAGTATCATGATTCCAATGTACTTGTATTGCATTCAATATGTTAACCTTGAGCAGAAAAAAAGTTTTGTAAATACTTTCTCGTTTCTAATAGACTACAGTTCTCTAGTTGAAGTGGCACAACATAAGTAAACTAAGCCGGTATGATTATTAATCACCAAAATAAGAGAGAATCTACTATAAATTATCTTCACCATCAAAAAAATTACTTTCGGGAGTCAACAAAACAGGTACATCATTCATTTCCGAAAATTGTAATACAACCGACCCAAACTCATTTTCTTCCTTCACAAGGAGTTCTGTACCATTATCTGTTATGATGACGCCATGAACGGTCTTCTTATGCAGTTTCAACGTATTCTCAAATTTAAAGTATTGTGAGCAGTAATCGCATTTGAAATTCCGATAAGGTTGGTGCACAGCATTGTGCTTGTACAGTGACGAGTATTCAGTGAAACGTTTCCCGCAATCCTAAAACAGCTTAGTATTATATTTTGAACTTGTCATTCTCGTTTTACCTCAACAGGACAAACGTAAGGTTTCTCGCCTGAATGAATTCGCATGTGGTTTTTGTAGTTTGTGGCTGATGCGAAAGCTTTCCCACAATCGGCAACGGGGCACGTGTAGGGGCGTTCGCCGGTATGCGACCGAATGTGGACCTTACGTATGTTGGATGTAGTAAATGACTTGTCACAGCCTTCTATGGGACATTTGAATGGTTTTTCACCTATACTTACAGTTTCATTACATCATATTGGGTGAGCAACACTTTACCAGTATGCGTACGAATATGTTTCAGTAAATCACCAGACGTTTTGAAATTCTTTAGGCAAAGTGAACATGGATATGGTTTCTCACCAGTATGTGTTCTTAAGTGGGCCTTGAGCGAATAGCCTGTTGCAAATGCCTTATCACAGCCTTCCACATTGCAAGCGTAGGGCCTTGTACCCGTATGACAACGAATGTGCACCTGTATGACAAAAATTGAAAATGAATCGCAGTTTTGGGGCAATTATTACTGATATGATATACGCATACGATTTGTAATATAGATAAATTTTAATTCAAAACATATTGAATCAATTTTGTTTCAATGGGATTTGGTAACGGAGGAATAAGGGATCACTGATCAATTGTTTAAAGACAAATACAATAATTGGTCAAAGAATGCAGTAAAAATCATTTTTGTCTGGCAGAATCAAATTTTTCGAACTTCTATTTATTCAACACAAGAAAATTTACACATTATACCGCTTCATAACGAACGTGAACAAAAGGACGTCTAAAAATAAAAAGCGATAACCACGCGTGCATTTTCGGTAAGTTACAGAAGCACTCTTCAACGAGTGAAGAAAAATGGAAATTGATCGCCTTTACTTTTATTAATATATTTCAATCGTTTAAAGTTATATGTCTATTTATTCGAGTTCAATCAAACTCGAGCATTAAATTTTGAATTTCAGGTTTTGACAGAAGATAAGGAGCCAAACTTCCGCAAGGTAAGGGGTAAAAACGATTGTTATTACTGAGCTTGCCTCAGGTAAATTAATTGTTGTATTGAAATTTTTTACCAGTGCCATAGAAATTCAATTTTATTTTATGCAAGTGAGTCTTCAACTCTTCTATTACATATTAATCACGAAATTGAATTACTTCATCGGAGTTTGTAATTTGAGTGTCCATGTTAGCTTTCTTTTTTATTAATTTAATTTGTTGTTTAAATGTTATCATTCGTGTACGTTTGTTTATTTAAATTATAAGATGTAAAAATTGCATTATTTAGAGTTCAGAAATGCATTTAAGTGTTGTCTATTAGAAATATTACAGTAGATACTGAGAGAAGGGATATAAATATAAATTTATGCATGTTTGAAAGAAGTGATTTCAACTAACTAAGACATGGAATATAAAACAGAACAGTAATACAAATAGTGGGTTGTTATATACGATACCTTTGAAGCAAGCATTTTTGCTTAGAGAAGATATCAGTTTCAGGGGATGATTTGTTGGGGTTTAATTGCACCTACATAAGCCAGACGAATTGGAGTGTAGCGGTCATTTCTTTTGTGAGTTACAGTATGCTTTGCCACTACCAGTTTCGTAATCTTATACATATTTGAATGTACCTTAATTAATTTATACACAGGAATACAGGGTGCCCCATTTATCTTGAAACGATCAATTATTGCGGAAATTCGGTGATATGAAAAGATGATTTTATATAAAATACTGTTAATATAAAAGGGTCAAGTGTCGGACAACTTATAATTTTTTCAAACAGAAACCTGCACCTCTACCTTGTACATGGGAAACATTTTCTCCCTACACTTATCAATTTTGAAGACACTCTTCTAAAAGCGCGATTTTTGGTTTGAGCTAGGAAGCTGTTCTCTCAAGATTTTGAGACATTTTTTTATACCAACTTTGAAAGACCTCTTCATTCAACAGAAATAGAAAATTAACAATAAAGTAAAATTTACACAAAAATATAAGATGGCTATGAAAAAAAAATCAGGCTAGGCTTTAAATTTTGGATGGGCAAGGAATGTCTGGGGGGGGGGGGGGGGGGGAGCAAAACTATTTGTACTAATGTAGAACAGTGTTGTCCAACCAAGGAGAACTCTCCAACGGTGAGGAAGACACACATTTTTGAAAATATAATGCAACCTTTCAGGGCCTTAAATTCGACAAATTATATCAATAATGCCAACGATGTCAAAAATGGTATTTGTTCTGACAACTTTAGCACCAAACAGTAAGAGGTAAAATGAAGCCTTCTTTAAATTGGTACAATATAAGGAAAGCTTATTGATTCTTTCTATTTAATTCACATCCCTCACTCCCACACCAGCCCTCAAAAACGAGCAACAGCACTTTTTGAGGTGCTCATAATATTCATGCTACTTCACAACGATTCCACAATTGGCAAATCAGAAAAACAATTGCACATCGTGGAGGATCTTCAATAAACTAACTATAAGGATTAAATTGCCACATTATATGAAGAAAAAAATGGCCCCCCTCTTCTCCTATTCCATTGACCTCAATATTCAGATTTTTATTCAACGGTTCTGCTACACAAGATTACCGTCAAATGATGAGCAGTAGAAAATTCCTTCTCACAACCGACATATGGACACGGAAACTTCTTCTTTTTCACCTCTACTTGTGTCATAGTGTTAGCATCCAACAAACTGTCCAATAATGACGCGTTTATGAGTGCACAAGTACCGTCTTCCAACTGGATCTGACGAAAATTACCGACCTCAACTGAAAATGCAAATAAAGAAACGGTCTCGCAGTCCTTAAATTTACCATCATCCTTTTGTTTTTCGCTGACTATCGTTTCTTCAGAGCTAGTACTCAATACAGTCGGCTGTACTGTCGGCAAATCCTCGTCCGTTAATGTGTATTTATTGTCGTCCGTTTGTAACTGAGAAACTAAAACCAATAACTACAAGTATTGGAGCAGTAGAATTTCAACGACTACCTGAATCATCAGTGGACAAATAAATTTGCCCATCTTGCATAGTGACGAGTTTAACATTGGATAGAGAATTGGAATTATCACTTGTAAAGATTGTATCGACGGTACTAACTTCTTCTTCGTCCTCACCATCCTCCTCGTCATCTTCTTCGTGCGGTAAAGTGTAATAGATCACTTGATTACTCTCATCGCCCACTGCTAATATTGTCTGCACTGGTTCTTGATTTTGTACGATAATACTAGACGGGTCATTAATGATGGTGTATAACTGGTAAACTGTATCATTAGCTGTAGTAGGTAATTCTGAAAGGGCAAAACAATGAAGTATAACAAAGAGGTACAGGCAAGATGGCTTCTACTGGGTTCATTTGTTTATTAACAAAAGATGGATGGATATCGCGATGGGTTATGAAACAAATCAAAGGAGCTTTAACAACAAATTGTTTGGGGATTCAAAATTTTGTAAAATTTAAAGAAAGCAAAGAATCTTGGGAAATTACCCATAATCTTGCATCGGCGATGCACGTTTCCACTGCCACCTTAAATTGATTATATGACAGTGTAGCCAACCTCTGGTAATTTTTCCGTACTTTTCCCACAGAGTTGTATATTATATACAACTTGACTTTTCCCAAATATTTTAAAATAATTATACACAAAACGGTGAATTAGTGCAAAACCTACTCAAAATTAAAATTTATTACATTCGTTATAATTTAAAGAGTAGAATGGTGGAAAACAGGGACGGAGTTAGGATTTGTGGGCCCGGTGCTAATTTATGCGAAGGGGCTCTCGCACAGTCTCACCTGTTTTAAACATTATAATATGTAGTACCTATTGTTATGACTGATTTAATACGCTAACTAAAACCTTAGTGTACTTTACACTATGCTAAAACCAAAGAGCTAAAACTTATAATGAAAAGATACAAACAAACCAATGGTATTATTGTGTACCTATCTATTCTTGCTTGTTGATTATTCATCCCAAATAAGATATGGATCCAGCAATGCATATTATAAAAACATACGTTCTGTCCCGGCGAACTATCAATCGCCTTTGGGAAATCTCGTTTTTTCCCATTCTTGTACCCCGTTTCCGATAAAATCCCGTTTTGTCCCGTTCCCGTTGGAATTTCAGGAAGTGTTTTACAGCAACCTTCTGGCGCGTAGGTACGTATAATATCATAGGACATAGAGGTACTCATACTCTAAGTATGCATGGTAATATATGTACATACAATAATGGACCAACCATTCTCAAAAGTTTCATCGCAATCAGATGAACGGTTTAACCAGGCGTAAAGGTAACAGACATGCATAAACATTGCTTTTTATTTATTAGTAATTTTGGTAAGGGGATTTGTTGCCGAATTTTTGAATAGTGAGAAATACACCTGGAAATGAACTAATTCGTATATCATTAGACGAGGAAAAAAATCTTCTTTCGATTGGTATCATTATTTGTTTATAAGTTTTTTTTCGTAGGTATTAAAATATTATTTATTTCTTCAACTTCCATTTTTGAAAAACAAACAAAATTAGAAAGTTTGATAATGGTATCCACGTAGGTACAGCTTTTAGCGCATTTTATGCAACAAAGTTAGCATTCGAAGGAACAAAAATTTTTACTTCAACCAGTGGTTTACGAAACATTGCAAATGAGTTGATTTAATAGAAGTTAAAGCAGGAAACGACACTTCTGCAAGTTTTAAATCAAAGGTATCAAAACCGTGATCATCGATTTAACTCTAATTAAGTTTGATTATAGTCATGGTCACTCTATTATAAAGCCGTAATTAATTCATACAAATGGGTCCCCTTCATTATGACATAACGCGGCCAATAAAAATTATATTACAATTACAATTAATAAATAATATTGATTCAAGGTTACATTATTGTCAGTTTAGTGCAGCTTGTCATTCATTAGGACTAATTTCAAGAGCTATAGGTATGTCGTTTTCTAGAATATAGTGGTAGCATTCGCGGATACTATCTTCGTCTTTTGGCTTATGAAGAATTCTGTAAGTTGTGTGTAGGTGTAGGTACCAAGCGTTTCATTTCCAAACAAACCACCAATTGTAATTTATAGGTAATGATAAAAAATCAAAAATTGCAAAAACACTTCCATTTGGATATCTAGGGAAAGGTTTAATTAAAGGTTTGGTCACTTTGTCCGTCGGTCTGTTCGTCAGTTTGTCTGCCCATTTGTCTGTTCGTCCGTCCGCCTGTCTGTCTGTCCCTCCGCTAGACTATAATCGTTCAGAAATATTTTTCAGTAGATCTAAAACAAGTCGAATTTTTCATAAATTTTAAAGGCAATATTTTTCGATAGAGTCTAGAGTGCCCATTACAGTACACCTCTTATAATCAAAGTATCCTTTATTAGAAAAATTAAAAAAATTAGTATCGTTTTGTGAGGCTATTTTCTAACTTTACTATAGAGATGTTGCGAAAATACACTTGTGTAATTCAATTTGAAAATTCAATATTTTGCTACTTTTCAGGAAATGTATTCTTATGGATAGCAAAATTATAATTTCACAGTGTGGAACTTCTCCACGGTTACTTAAGTCAATCTTTTCAAAAATTATTTGTAGATAGATACTAATTTGCAAAACAAATTACGTAATTACAGTAACAGTAGTAGAGTATCAATCATTGAGTTCAACATGTTAGTAAGAGGTCTCGTGGTTGCAATACTTACCACCTACTCTCACCAAGATGCTCAATGGTATGGTGACCTCCAACTCAATCTCAAAGTAACGGAAGACGCCAAGCTACTCGTAGTAAGTATCTTGTCTGCGCTTGCTGACAGTTTCACTTTGCCATTTATCAGCCCGACATAATAGCAAAATACGGATATCCGTGCGAAATTCACACTGTGGTGTCCCAAGACGGTTACATTTTGGAAATGCACCGAATACCATTCGGGAAAGATGGCCCTTCTGAAAATCGATCGGCGGTTTACGTGCAACATGGACTTCTCTCCTCTTCCGCAGATTGGATTCTGAAAGGGAAGACAAGTCTGGGTAAGTTGGATTTTGTTTGCAGAATTGCAGCTGGCTATGTTTCGTAGGGTATGCGCTAGCGGATGCGGGATATGATGTTTGGCTGGCAAACGTACGAGGCACAAGGTACTCTCGTAGACACATGTTTTTGAATCCGGATAAGAACGCCAGCAGCTTCTGGGATTTCTCCTGGCACAACATCGGAGTAGACGACGTGCCTACAATGATCGACTATATCCTCATAACGGTGAAGCAGCGAAACATTTTTTACATCGGTCACTCGCAAGGAACGACCGTGTTTTTTGTAATGTGCTCGGAAAGACCGCAGTACAACGAAAAGATAAGAGCAATGTTTAGCTTTGCACCTGTCGCGTGGTTGAAATACATGACTAGTCCCTTACTACGTGTAATTTCTATGGCGGATTCTGCTGTGGGGGTAAGAATCAATCCACGTTTAGCGCACTTCTCTCAAGAGGGTACATTGTTATGTTCATGCGTACTCTTCCTCCTCATGCTATTGCTGTTTTAGATGGACAAACACTCAAAGACATTGAAGCCCAATGGAAAAAGTGCGCTATAATAATCAGTTACTTACAGAGTCAAAACTGAACTCTAATACCAAGCTATAGTCGCTATTTCAAGCAATTGGCATGTACGAGTTTCTGCCGCAGCGGTCGTTCCTAGCCGATATCGGCGGAGTTTTGTGCGGGGACGACTCGCTTCTTCAGCCACTTTGCGCCAATGCTCTTTTTGCTATATGCGGTTTTAATCAAAAGCAGATGAACGCCTCACTAATACCAATAATAATGGGCCATACACCGGCAGGGGCGGCTACGAAGCAATTTCTGCATTACACCCAACAAGTTAATTCAGGTAACTCTGAAATAACACTTGCGCATATTATAATTGTGAACCTGTAGGACATTTTAGGCAATACGACTATGGCTTATTTGCTAATATCGGTAAATACGGATCCGCTTATCCACCCGATTATCAGATGAAGAAGGTCGTAGCGCCTGTGTACCTTTACTACAGCCGGAACGACTGGCTATCCCATGAAATTGACGTAATTCGGCTATCCGAAGAGCTGGGAAATCTCAAAGACAAATTCATAATAATAGATGATAAATTTAATCATCTTGATTATTTATATGGAATTGATGTCTATGAGTTACTTTACAAGAGAGTAATTGCACTGATGAAACAACATTAACTTTGAAATGAATTATCTAAATACAAATGATAGGTAACTATTGTACCTTTTACTTGATGAATTCTCAATTCTAAAGTTTAAAGTTTCGGAGCAAACCTATACTATGTGACCGTGTTATACGATTATACAGTGCTATTGATTAAAAAGTAGACATAGGGACTTATGTGTACTATGTTCCCTATGTCTACTTTTAAATGACAAAATGTCTCCTGAAGTGCGCCTAATTTTATGCAACCAAAATAATTTCGTTCGTGTACGATGTATTCAACTGAAGAAAAACTTGATATTGTCAATGGTATAATGCCGATTAAGGTGCGTAACAGATTTATTTTCCGTTAAGGCAAAGTAACAATATTCAAACAATTAATATGGCACCCAGAGGTTTATTTGTTTTAAAAAGTTATTTAGGATGCACAAAAATAGGCCCCCTTCAGAAGGGATTTTGTCTTTTGAAAATAGACATAGGAAAAAAACAATATAAATACATAAATCCCCATGTCTACTTGTAAATAGATATCACTGTATAATAACATTGGTAGTGTGACCGGGAGGGAGTCCAATACGTCAACCTTGTTCAACACACGCAAAAGGGGCGCTACTATACAATTTTACTGTTACCTACTCCTCTCCAAAAAGCAAAGTTCGAAATTCTAAGTTGATTACTTACAAGTAGGTAGGAGTTGTACCCTGCTGGCCTGTTCGTTCCTCCTATCTGAACGTTTGTGATTTTTTCCTCTGGAGGTTTTTGAAGGACCGAGTATATCGTACCAAACCCCGATTTTTAGCAGAATTAGCTGCTATTCTGCAAAGAGAACTCGAAATTACCACTGAGGATACATTAACAAGAGTCTGGAGAAGTTTTCTTAAGAGATTCGGGGTTGCATCAGAGAAAACGGGCCCTATCTACCCGATATAGCTGCTTAATTGCCTACATAACAATTAATGGCATATCTGCCAAAATCAAGAACAAGTTCCTGGGTCTCGTATAATGAAACGCGCCTTTGATTGACAGTTCAAGCTTACGGTCACTCGAAATCAGAGATGGGCAAGAATTAATCCCAAATGGAATTAATTAGTGATTTAATTCAATTTGGTGAATTGCATCCAATGGAATCAAGCCTTTTTTAGAACTGCTGTAAAAGCGCTTATAATTAAATCCTTTTATAAAAGGAATTGTAATTGTGAATTGTAAAAAGGCTTAAATCACATGAAAGGTTTAAACCACACAAAAAGCTTAAGCTACCATATGAAGGCTTAATTCCTTTCAGAGATGCTAAATCAAAAAAAAAACACTACGACTGCAAATTGTAGTCCATAAATAAGTTTAGCACTCTATGCTATCATAAAAGCATTAACGAATTTCACTCAACGATAAAAGCAAACAGTGGGTATACGTGGGTGTCAACGAATCTATTAGACAAGCCATAATTCCTAGAGTATTAGGTGTATAAAAACGGGATTTGGTACGTGAAGAGGAGAATTTTCGCAATTTTTTGCTTTCCGCTCACTTCCGTTGCCACCGGAAATGGTCCAGGTTTTGAATTGTTAAATGGAACACCCTGTATATTTTTACATTTTTGGAGATTATCACCAGCTAAACGCCTCAATTCCAGATCGATACCCATGACTCTACTCCATATGCAGGACGTGTCGCAGATTCTGCCTTCTCAAAACTTGATCTCGTTCCATCAAATACCAGTCAAGCCTTCGAACATCGAGAAGACCGCCATTCCAACCCCATTCGGACTATTCGGTTTCCCGGTGATGACGTTTGGTCTTAGGAATGCATCCGTGCATGTTGCAGCGATTTCAACAACATGGAATCATCATCAACGTCGCAACCTCTCGCGAAAGTGTTAAGCCATCTGCCACCAGGATACCAACTCTTAAAAACCTGGTGTTACCAACAACCGTCCACGACCTTCGTAGAGTACTAGACATGTTCAACTATTATAGAAGATTTGTCAAGAACGCAAAACATATTGTAAATGTATTCCATAGAAGGCAATAGGATTTTATTTAGCGTTTCCCGCTAAACTTCACCCTACCGTAATTTTTAGGGGGTTGACTTAACTTCGCTTACGAATAAACGCGATTTCCCTGACGGTTATTTCAGAACAACCAACTTTCCACTACTTTAATTTTTTAGATTGACGACCATCCCTCGAACCAAATCTTTTCCACCAATCAACTTCACACACCCAATCAGATTCATTAATTGATTGATTCTGAAAATTCCCCATAAAGCAGCAAGCCAAATGGCGACGACTGCAATACAAACACATTTTTTTCTGTAACCCGAGGCAATTACCCCGTATTCCACGACGCACAGCGACACTTGCCCACGTACTGTAACAAAAAAATCCTCTAAAATCGTTACAATCGGGAAATAAGTCATAATTGGTAAAAAAAAAATAAAAATTTAGTCGGCTCCTATAGGACACGGGAAATATATATGTAGAAAATTGAAAAAAATTGGTACCGATATGAGATTGTCAAGATCTGTATATGCTCGTGCATTTAGGATAACGGACAGACATTATGATCTCATAAATGCTTCGCTATTTAGTAGCGATTTTTGTCTCATTAGCTTCTACCAATACGTTTGTTTCCACGGAACGTCAGATAAGTTTAACCAAAGAGTAACCATACTCTTTGGTTTAACTGAAACCGAAAAACCACCCTTTAATAATTCCAGTCAAACGTAACTATGATTCGCCTTGTAGTACCTACGATTTGTATGCATATTCAAGTTATCTATCAGTCGGAGGAAAAGGTAAGTTCCAAGAAGCGCTGATAAGAAGAAGAAAGAGATTTCTGTTCTTAGACGTACCCCTGCGCTTATAAGCTCTTAATTTGAATATGCCTTGTTCGATTACGTAGCTACGTACTTTTATGTCTTAAATCTGTTTCAAGTAAAGGAAAAGCAAGATGGGTGCTCTAAAACAATGCAAACAACTGACTTTTCAAGAAATTTTTGAATCGTTTGCTCTATTGTACATGTTAATTTACCTACTTACTTAAATTTTACGTTATTGCATCAGCACGTTGGCATTTTTTGCGTTTTTCCTGTCAGTGCTTGCCGTAGGAAGTTATTATTCTGCAAATTAATGTGTGACAATTTGGCAAATGTTAACAATTTTCAAAGCGGTTGGCCTTGTAAACTTCAATTCGGTACTTGACTTTTGCCTACTTCTTAGGGCGATCGATCATTTTAATTGACAATTTCACACTTAAAAAGAAATCTTAAATGTTGGGCATTGTCTCCATGATACGGTAACACCGTCTGGGACCTATTAATTATAACGGGCACCATTGGGAATCTCTGTTAACTTCGCAAGGGATAATCATCGAAAGCTGCCACCGTCAACAAGGCAGATAAAAAATAAGTACAAATAATACGAAAGTAAACAAAATCAAGATCATTTTTTATCTCCGTTTGGTGACAATGCAGGCTGAAACCTTGTTACAATTTTTATTGAGGGTGTGACCTCAAGCTGTAGGTGCTATGATTCAATCCAAATTTTAAATATCAACGAGAGCAACCTTCTCCTCAGCTCGTAAATAAGAAATTAAACCTGACATAGTGGTACATTTGTAACAAAATACTACTCACTTCAGTGGAGGTAACTGTAAATAACATTGAATAAAATAGATGAGGTGGGATCATAAACTACATACTGCTGAAGAAAGAAGAATCAGTTGCGGTAAACCACTTTCACTTACGTTCAAAACAAAAGCAATCTTCATTCACATCAGTGATGTACATGTTACCTCTTCATCAGTGATTACATAATTTACTATGGTAAGTGGAATTATTTAATTTATTTTAATTACAATTCTTGTAATTGATATGTATTTTAAAAGTATTTTGTATAGTTAAGTGCACTGATTGCACTTGAGTTTTTGAAAATTACGAAAATCATGTCAAATCCTTAGAGGAATTTAAAGATGTGTACTTATAGACTTTAAATATTTAAATTAGATGCATTTCACTTAGGATTTACGTTTGGAAACCAGAAATATGCGTATTTTCATACAGGAATCGATCTCATTAATATTTACGATAATATATAAATAAATAAGTAAAACAGTTACAAAATTTCATCATATCCTTTTTTCATAGAATTACACGCTGTTCGCCGCAAATTAAGCTTGTTTGTGAGAGTATTTGTACAAATCTTTATTTAACAAAGCATTATGAAAGTGCTGCAGTAATTGCATGTTCTTTTTCTAATGAACGCATACTTAAAAATGGTAGTTTGTATGTACCAAATCTTCGCGGATAGCAAAATCCTCTTCTTCGTCCGAATTAGTGAAAGTAACTATATCATCGCACAACGTTCCGAAGAATTAGGAAATAGTTATTGAAGATCACCAATTCATGGTCACCAAGAGTCTTTGGCATAGAAAACCGGATTTTTTGATAGGTGCACTTGCATTCAAATTAACTTTTTGAGTTAACCTTAAAATGCCGGATTAGTTTCTTCGTGGGAAATTGAAACTTTTACGGTCACTACGTTTTCATTATGATTTCTCATTCATAATGCACAGGGATATCCGGTTTCTTCTGTATCATGAGAATATTAGTTTCTTTGGAATGCTGGTGCAATTTTCTGGAGAGGATATCGAGTTAGGTAGTTTAAAAAAAATCATCATTCACTTTCGGAGCAAATATGAACCCAAAGAGCTTTTATACTTACGTACTTTATTAGGTGGTTACAAGCTAAAACAGCTATACAGTGTTTTAGCGAATGTGCTACTGTGTAAATAAACGACAAAATGTAAAAAAAAACTATTTTGGGAATCAATTAACCCAATATCCATTTTTCCTTATCGGTTTGTAAGGGACCTGGGGGCGTATTTCGAAAAGCATTTGGTCTCCTGCACAGTGCCGAAATCCAAGACACTGAAATAGAGACGGTTTTCTTGCGTATTTGCTGTAAAACAGCGCAAAACTCGCAATGCGTCTTTAATACGTCGCGTCGCCTCGAGTGGATGAATCAAGTAGGTACGTTTTTACGCACATTTTGAGTCGATTAATGCGTTCCGATTTCGACAGCGTGCGGGAGACCAAACGAGACCGCTTTTCGGAATACGCAACCTGGAGGTCGCAGCCTACAATACAGATCTGTTTTACGCAAATGATGCTCACAAGTCGGTTCCTTTAGGAATATTATGATTATTTTAAGCACATGTTAGTATGCAAATTCCGAAAAATAATCGACCACCACCTTATACAAATCAAAAACTTAAAGTAACTTACAGTTATCGATGGGGATGAGATTCCCTTCAGATTACAGATCGTTTCGTGATGGTACAACTGATACGTATCGAAATCAGACCTGCTACAAATCAGGCGACCATCCCTTTTTGCGTAAAACTCGCCGGTAACTCGCACTTTGTCAGAAATTGGATTCAATTTTTCTCAATGACGTAATCCAAATGTAATAAAACGCGCCACTAGTTAAGCTGCTAATTCTTTACACCTACCGAATATATTTTACCAACTAATAACGCACTTTGGTTCTTGAAGTTGAACTCCGAATCTTCGCAAATACGGAAAGTAAATTTAGCTATATAGGCTGTCCCACTTCGCTGTTTGCATTTCGTCCCTTAGAAAAACTGAAACGGCACCAAGTTTATGAACGCAACAACCTCGACTAGCGTGCCCTACTAACCAATGGCAAACGCGCACTTTGGCTATTTCATCCAGCTTAAAATGCGTTTGTTCGTCGCTTTATCGCGGAAAATGAAACCCTGACGCCTTTCTGAACTTCGTGCGTTTTATCGCTAGACCTACTTACGTTCATGTTTCATACGAAGCGGTGCATGTGTAAATTTCCCTATGTTGAACAAAATTCAAATTTGAAAATAAGCGGGCACCCGTTACATGCCCAAACCAAAGAACCAAAAATGTATTATGCATCATCATTAACAGAGATGCTTTTCGTCTTACAGGTCTAGGAAGTTTTAATTTCGCATATGCTTTCATCGGTATTTTATTAATTATGTACGTTGTTATCACTATTAATTTTTTTCCATGCTGTACTCTATTAAACTATTCAACCAAAATAAGTTACCGATTTGGTTAAAACTTCCGTTAGTAGAGTTAGTCCACTTGTTTGGGGAAATATTCTGCCATTTTTTGTGAGCGAAAATGCATTGTTTTTCTTTCCGCCACGGTTACTATTTTCGAAGAAATTTTTTGTGTAGGTAGGTGCATTTTTGGTGCTGAGAGATACTAAAACGATATTTCGTCTCCATTTTCGATACAGGAATGGCAAAAAACCTTAGTTAAACCAAAGAGTAACCATAATGGTTTTACAAAAGATTTTGGTACGTATTTTATTTCATCAATTTTCCTTGGGGAATAGCAAAACGCACTGCACAAATGAACAAGAGTAAAATTGTTTTCTACTGTTGGGATTGTTCATCGCATTTCTGGTGCAGTTCTTAACAATTTTTTGAATTTTGACTAACTTCCTAAAGCAGGAGGGGTTCCCAAACTTTTTGGACCGTGACCCTGATTTAAAGTTGTAAAAGCCTTCCCGACCCTAAAGCATTTTTCGCACAATGTATAGACAAAATAACCTGTTTCTATTATACAGGGTGGCCCACTGAAACAGTCAATTGTCAATTTTGGCCGTTTTTAACGACAGTTTTCCCAGAAACGATTTCATTAAAATGGAATGGTCCATGAAAGCAACGGAATCACGAATCTCCTCCCTCCTAATCGGTCTGCTCCGCCCCACCTCCAAATTGCATTTGTCCGTATTCGAGTCCATATCACTGCTTATCCGTTCCTATTTATTTAGTTTTTTTTCTATAATTCAATTATAAATTCTATAATCATGAAAATGCGACCCTATGAAATCAGCTCACGACCCCACTTGAGGTCGCGACCTCGACTTTGGGAACCCCTGTCCTAGAGCATAGATTCTTTGCCCTTTTATAGGTATTAGGTAGGTACACTGCATGTCATGATGTAAGCATTTCAATTACTTATGTCTATTAAGGCCAATAGAAACTTTTTATGAATTACGAGTTTATATTGCGAGAAGTAGCAACCCTCCATTGATCAGAAATTGTATTAAAGCTTCT